AAAAGTCACGCTTTCTACGAAATAGTATAGAAATCTTATGTCCTCCATTACCTCAATAAGGTTCCTCATAAATCATAAAATTTTCTTATCACGCCAATACCAAATTAAACAAGGAAGCTTATAGCTAGATACCTAGAAATACCTTATAATCTACCATTCAAATATAACTTGAGGCTAATCTTCTTCATCATCAAAAACGACAATTTTATTCAAACAACATGCTAATAAATCATAGGAGTGAGATTTGATTTATCGCACAAAACTAAGGAATAGGATTGTAGGGAATATTGTAATAAAGTATGGCTTAAAATATAGTATACACATAAGACATAATGTAAAGATTACTATGTCATATTGGAGTCTAAAGAATTGAATATATAGTGCAATGTAATCTTTCCTTACCTTATGTAATCAATGTCTCTATAAACATCATAACCAAGTATATTAAACATGAGTTTTAAACAAAGTATATAACAATGGTGCAACATACGATATTGATGAATAAGATTGATTAATCTATATCACGTTTTAAAATGGAGAACAAAAAAAAGACATAATATACATTAATTAGTTTTATACACAATTAAGGTCACAGAAAGAATATATACTATCCACCAGCACAATATATATATATATATATATATATATATATATATATCTAAAAAGGGTGCTCTTTAACAAATAGATTATAGGATGAAGAAAAACCTTACATATGAAAATAATTCAAATTACATGCAATTTTACAAATCAAACAAATAGCGAAAAGATCCAAACCTCGTGATAAAGTGCAACTGAAGAAAATGATGCAGTATATAATAAAATTAATAGCCAAGAATATACAAAATAATTTCATGCTTATGTGTGTCGGTCATAGATTTATTTACCTACCATCAATTTTATACAAAAATAATTTGATAATGGAATAGACATACATACCTCGATTGATTAATTGCAATCATCATCACTGATTGATTTTTCTTTTAAATCATATGCGTAGAGTAATGGTGCTGATAACGTGTTAAATATAGAACAAAAGAGGAAGTTGTAGAGAGTATTATTATTGTTGGATCTATTTCTTCATTAGGCAATACCTACTATTTATACATATGAGTATAGTAACTCTCTAAAGTAATAAGAGTCACATTTATGCAAAAGTTACAAAGTAGATGATAAAACTAAGGGAAGTTATATGGGGGATTACAAGAGAAATAATTATGTTAAGGTGGTTACAAAGGTATAATGGACATACATAAATATACATTTTACAGCAAATATTGTTTTTTTTTTTTAATTACAAACTGAACTGCAGTTTTTCATTGACTTTCGCTTTGTTGAACCCTGGCCAAACAGATGGTAGATTTTGATCAATTCCTACTGCATCTATGATTGTGTACAACACATGCCATTTAAATTCAATTGAAATTACTTACTTTCGAGTAGTCACTCTTTTTTTAACACCAATTCTATTTTTTCTAATGGTTAATTTGTAAATTGTACAGAGGCCATCACAACAATGTAGGCCACCAGCCTAGGCCACAGGCCTTCTTAATTGCCCATTGACCCAAGAAAGTACTTTCAACGGACAAACTCAGTTTTTTTTTATATTCATCGCTAATGTACTCTCCTTGTTATTTAGTTGATGTGGGACAATATCCAACATTGCCAAATTTCATCTTTTATATGTAGTGAATGAGATTATAAACTATCGGTTCATGTATGCATGTTACTTGTTAGCATCAATTTTAAAGATCATGTACTGAACACTGAAGATGGAATATTAGAACAAGCAATATATCATAATTGACCAATCTGTGAATAGTAGTTGTCCCCCTTCCCCCCCCCCCCCCCAAAAAAAAAAAAAAAAAAAAAAAAAAAACTATGTGCCTTATGAAATCTTTGGAAAATTAGATATAGATGACTGAAACGCATCGACGTGTATTTAAATCAGTTATCAATCTTATTCCCCTGCATTTATGTGAAGGCATGGCTTTAAGGATGAGGGGTAGTGTTAAATAGATGATTCCTTTATATCTATCTTGCTGGTGGGTAACTTTAATTTTATTTGAAGGGGAAGGTTAAATATTGCATTTGACCTCAGACCTGTTAATGGATATTAGGATCAAAAGACTTATACTGTCATAGCTAATGCATTTGATATCTACCTCATACCTTTGCACGCCAACCCTTGCTTGATCTTCTTTATACGAGTAACTAATAATGCTTGAATTCTTTTGTTGGTGAAAGGGTGCACCAAGCAGGATTGTGTCAACAAATTAAACCCAAAGCTCATGGTACGATGTTATGCTCTCTTACAAGAATATACGTATGCCACTTAATGATACTTTTCATTCTGAATGATAAAAAGACTTGATAAATTACAAGATTCCCATCATTTTTACTATTTCTCCCTGGAACACTAATTGATTCCTATCCTTGATTGCTTGAATAATCCACATCACATATTTAATGTGCTATGTCAACTATTCCAAAGGTTTGTACTTCACTCAAGTATATGTTCTGGCGGATATTTTAGACATTTAAGCATAATATTTGCCCTCCTCCCCCCCCCCCTCCTTACATTTACGAATTACTTGTTGATTTCAGTTCTTTACATTATGTTTTGGATCTTCTTGCTGCACTCATACTAAAGTGTAAAAACAAAAGGCTGATCATTCCCTTCTTGTCCCGGTGCTAGCTAATTTGAGTTGTACTGATTCTTGTAGATTCTTCTATCTGAATTGAAAGCCTTCACCGCTCTTGAAATGAGGAATTGAGGATGACCATGACGAAGATGTGAAAAAACTGAGTGAGATTGTGTTTAAATGGTAATTTTCTTTTTTATACTTTATTTTGACATTTTGTGTGAAACCTTTCTCTTGTTTTTCACCAAATTAACAATTTCATGACATAGAGTGTTGAGACTAAATACTGCCAGAGGTGGTGAAATATAGTTAAAGAGCTGTTGTCATGAAGCTAAAATTTGTGGAATCTAAAACTGAAAAGCTCAAGAAACTTGAATGTGAACGAGGGATTTTTATGAGTAAAACTTCCAAGGCCCAATAAAATCTTGATTCACTAGGGACTTTCATTAAAAACTCTTCACTAAATAGGGCGAAAACCTATTACAACCTACAGACCTTTTCTACTTGGGGGGGGTGTTGGTTTATACTTAGAATGGGTTTGCCATCAAGAATAAATGTCTTAAGTCATACAATCCCATACCCTGTGAGATTCACTCAAACCCTTTTGTGGAAGGTTCACAACACATGGAAGTTTTAGAGCAGACTTAGGGAATGTCCATTTTTGTTTGAATAAAACATTCTTCTTATGTAGCATTCCCAAAGATTCACTCAAACCCTCCGTGTTTAAATAAACAAAACGTTTTACTTTTCCGGCCATGTTTAAATAAATGACACGTTTTCTTTTTTAGTAACCTCTCTCTTCTTCTTCTTCCTCTTCTTCTGCTTGAACGTCTTAATCCCATAAGTGGAGTCGGCTACATAAACTAACATGAGGACTTCCCAGGAGATCATCCATCCTAGTACTACTCTCAATCATTGTGGCTCATATCAAGCGAAGTGACAAAGTTTTACACTGGCTGTCACTGACCTATCATAACCCTCCTTTATCCAGGCTTGGGACTGGCAGCAGGAAACCCAGTAGCGGAGTTTTTAGTAACCTCTCTCTATTTTTTAATAATATTCTCTCTATTTTTTAATACTCCCTCCGTCCCCGAATGTTTGTCACTTTTGCCATTTTGGGTGGCACTGTATGTTTGTCACATTTCAGATTTTCAAATTTACTAACACATAAATTTACAAAGCCTCATATTTTTTGTCTTTATTATATGGGCTTCCTATTTTACCCTTGTATTTGCAACTATACTTGTGCCCTTTTAGGGCGTGTTCTGCAGTAGCTTTTAGTGGTTTGACTTGGTCAAACCACCACTTAACAAAAAATAAGAGTGTTTGGTAATGTAGTGGTTGGGGTAGCTTTTAGTGGTGGAAATAGTTTTTATAAAAAGTTAGAAATATTAGCTTTTGAAGTTAAAGGTAGCCGTTGAAAATTTAATCTATAGTTTTAGGAAAAAAAATATTGATTTTTACATGTAACAGCTAGTCAAACGCTACGTTATCGAACATTCAATACCTAAATGATCTATTTTCCTAGCTAACAGCTTGTTGACTATTAACAGCTACCTACACAGCTAACCGCTATCTTTATAGCTGTATTTTACCGAACACACCCTTAATTGTTGGTCTCCTCTTTGAATTTGTTACTTTGACTCACTCCTTCAAACATTACTTTCTCTCTCTCTCTTTTTTTTTTTTTTTTGAAAAGCACTATCTCTCTCTCTTTTTTTTTTTTCAAAATGATTGGGTTTAACTTTCCAACTAGTGTTCAGCCCGGACATTGCTCCGGGTGTTACTTTGATTATTTTATTATTATCATTATTAAAGAGCTTGAAAGATTTTTTTTTATTGTCAGAGAATTATAATAATACAATGACAATAATAAATAGTTTTGAATAATTTTTGCTTTTATTTTTAATATGTATTTATATATTTATGTGCATAGATAGAACATGATTAGTTTATAGCTTAGATGGTAATAAGTTGGTCCTCATTCTATGAGATCTTGTGTTCAAACCTCATTTTATGCATTTTTGGTTAACCATGACATGAAACAAAATATGCTAGAGGTACACGTGGCATAATGAATGATGATGTGGCGTTAAGCCAGTGCAAGAATGAGATACACGTGGCACATTGACATTTTCGGGAACACTTTTTAATATGCAAAGTATAGATATATATAGATGTACTTCCTAAACTTTTCCTTAATTCCCGTGAATTTTCATCAAAAGTGACAAACATTCGGGAACAGAGGGAGTAACATGCTATTAACTAATGGTCCCAACAAAACCCCTTACTCTCTTCAGTCTCATCAATTTATACAGTTATACGACAGACTTGGCAAACGGGTCATTCGGGTCGAGTCATTTTGGGTCAGCAAATATTCGGGTCGGGTCAATTCGGGCTTCAGGTCAAATTCGAGTCAGCACTTCGGGTTAAGTTTGGGTCAGGTCAATTTCGGGTTGGGTCAGTTTGGGTCCAGTCAATTTTTAGGACCATTTTTCGAGTCAATTTCGGGTTGAGTCAATTCGGGTCATGTTAATTCGAGTCAGGTCAAGTTTGGGTTGGGTCACCAAAATAAATTCACTTAAAAAAATTGTTGGAAAAATAAAGTAAAATCGCTAAGAAAATAAAAAAATTGTGAGTAACTATTACTTAGGAAAGAAAGAAGCCCTAAAACAAGTAATTCACCAGTTCACCCTATTCACTTCAGGAATTGGGTCGGTCGATTCGGCTTTAAATCGGGTCGGGTTACTTCGGAGTTCGGGCCAATTTCGGGCATCAGGTCAACTCCATTTCGAGTCGGGTCAGGTTAGTTCGGGTTCGAGTCATTTTCGGGTCAATGGTTTCGGGTCACGGGTCAGGTCATTTGGGTCGGGTCAAGATTGCCAGGTTTTTATACTCCACTACCTATTATTTTTATAAATTCAACTAACCTTCCTAAAAATACGTAAAGGTCAAAACGTTTTATTTGTTTAAATACGGAGGGAGTATAAAACTAGGGTGCATTCAAATTAATGTAAATATAAGATTTTTAATCGAAAGATTTAATTTCGAAAAAGACTTTTAAGATGAATCAGAATAAATAAAAATAAAAATAAAAATAAAAGTTCATTTTAGAAAAAAGATATTAAAAACAAACAAACAAAAAAAATCCTAAGTTGAAATATACTTTTTCTTCACAAATCAACCTTTTATCTTTTTCAATCCTAATCATCCAAATAGTTAGTCATACTTTTTGACAACCTTAAACACATTTGGTACACTTATTTTATCTTATATGGAAATAAAGTGCATTGAATAGACCCTTAACTATACTAAATCTATTTGAATTTAGGCATTCAATTTTGACACTGCTACTAAGTTCCTTCATGTGCCATGCATCATTAAATTATCCACATAATTGGGCTATGTTATCCTCACCCGAAGGTTATAAGCTAATACGTCGTACAAAAATTCTTGGGTGAATCTGGTCCACAATTTATTGTGGACCTTATGGTCTCACGTGCAAATGTTAGAATCAAATAGCCCACACGAGTTTACCCCGTCCAATTCTAACAAAATCCACCCAGTTTACCTTCATTTACAAAAAAAAAAAAAAAAAAAAAAAAAATACAAAAAAAAAAAACAAAAAAAAACCTAACTACACTCTCTCTCCTCTGCGAAAACATCATCGACAAAATCACGATGCAAAATTCATCAATTGAAAAACGAAATTCTCATGCAATTGATCTCAACAAATCAATTTATGAATCAGAATCACACACAAATAACAATGAAGGTATCAATTATTACTCTTTATTTTGATTTAATTTTGAAAATTTGATTATGTTGATTTTGTTCTATTCATTATATTTTTGGATATGTGCAAATTCCAATTCAAGATCTCGAATATGAAGGAATGAACAACATGAGGATGATAATTGTAAAGGAGATGAACAACACGAGGATAACAATCATCTTCAATTGAGTGATATTTGTACTGTAATTGATGGTAATTTCTTCTCCATTGCATTTTGTTAGTTCAATTTGATTTAGGAAGATAACCTTCAACATATTGTTTTGTGGTTTTGTGACAAGCAGAGAACATTGAGTTCTCAAAGTCACGTAGGATTTGGGGAATCATATAGTTGAAAACTTTTTAAAACTATTCCAGCCTATTAGCTCAATTGGTCGAGCATTGTGTATTTTCATTGGCACAGAAGATGTAGATTCGAATCCTACATAGGCTAACATATAGACATAGAGTGACCCTTTTTAGCAAATAGTTACCATTTCACCGTTTTTTTTTTTCCACATATTGCGACCTCTATATACATATACTTACCTTTTTGTACATATAGTGACCTCTATAGACATAGGCTGACTGCAAGGCTGCTTTGGGCAGCTTGGAGATGTCGCAACATGGCTATTTTCATAGGTAAACAACCATGTGCTGTGCTGGTTGCTGCAGGCTTCACAAAGTATGTTGAAGAGTACTGTAAGTACTCAAAACGTGTTGCTGGTACTGCTATGGCTAGTTTCCTGCTGCTGCATCGTGGTCCATCCCACCTGACCCAAGCAAACGGTGAGCTGGTTGCTGCTGCTATCAAGGGAATCCACCTGACCCAAGCAGAGATTGCAAGATATGCTCTACAGCTAGCAAGGAGACTCGGGTATAGCCATATTTGGATAGAAAGTGATGTGTAAGAGGGTTGTTCGTGCTATTAAGTCCGGAAGCAATGGAGTCACGCCTTTTCACCTAGTTATTGAAGATATAAAGAATGATAGCTTAACTTCGATGATTGCGTTTTTTCTCATGTTAGACGGGTCTGTAACACTATGTCTCATACGATTACTTGTTGAGATACTAGTAGTAACGTTGAAAGAGTCTATATTGGTATATTTTTATTGACACAGAAGATGTAGGTTCAAGTCCTACATAGGCTAATAAGATTTTGACATTTAGTGACCCTTTTTAACAAATAGGTTACTTTTTCACAGATTTTTTTCCCCGCATGTTATTACCTTTATATGACTATAGTGACTTTTTGTTTTTTACATGTAGTAACCCTTATTTGAATATAGTGATCTTTTTTTGTTTTACATGTAGTAATCCCTATTTGAATATAGTGACTTTTTTTTTTTTTTTTTTTTTTTTTTTTTTTTATTTTTTATTAACATGTAGTAACCCCTATTTGAATGTAGTGACCTTTTTTTACATGTAATAACCCCTATTTGAATTTGGTGACCTTTTGTAGTTATACTATTTTCACGCATTGTGACTCCTATTTAAATATAATCAAAGCATATTTATACATATAATGACTTTTATTTAAATATGGTCATAGCTACCCTATTTTTACATATAGTGAATCTTTTTTAAACATAATAACCCATATTTACACATGTAGTGACCCCAATTTATACATAGTCACTATTGTTATGATTACCTTTTTTTATTTTTTATTTTTTATTTTTTTGCATATAGTGATCTTTATTTAAATGAAGTCACCCTCTAAAGATAATCAACTTTTCATAGCCTATGTAGGATTCGAACCTATATCAATGTGCACTTGTACAATGCTCTACCAATAGAGCTAACAGACTTTAAACAAAACTCATACAAGCATAAACATTAAAGTAAAAACTACAACTAATCAAACTAATTAAGTAGAAATTTAACGGAGTAAGCCAACCCAACAAACACTATTGCCACTTATCATGCCCATAAAGCTTTTTTTTAGGGGAAAACATGGAAGCAATATTATTATATCAACTAGAGTCCAAATCCACGAAAGCTAGAACGCCTTGGGGAAAGAGTTTACAAAGGATTGTTCTACACCATTAGCAGGAACTAATCTAGCAGACAAGTGGATAACACATTGCCATTTTGTCTAACATGATTAATAGAAAAATACTCACATTACTGTCATTACAAGTTAGGCCACCAACGACACCAAGTAAACTTTCTGGCAGCTTTACCAAAACAGCTTTCCCTTCCAAAGAACCTTGGTACCAGTTGCAATTATTATGCCAGAACTCCACATTCATGTTGTTGAGCTCATGAGCTGAGAAGTATCGGATAGTGTCATCTTTACCATGATTGAAACAAGGGCATGCTTTGTTTAAGTACAACAGAGGGTCCTACTCATCCCACAATTGAAATCTACTACTATAGTGATGTACAAAAATCCATTTCAACTCGATTACTTCCAAAAATCATTATACAACCCAAATCACCCAAATAACTCATCATCTGACTGCGATCCAACCCAAATCTGACCAAGACATAGTGCCACCTCCAGTGCTAAATTTGCAACTCTACAACAACATATGGACGATTTCAACCAGATATTTTTTATTCACTAGTAAAATGCTCAAGATCACAACAATACTGTTTATCAAATGCTACTGTACATAAATATAATAACACAACCATCCACCAAACGTCAGCAACAATTACTCTTATTCAACCAACTAAAAGGTCTATTATGATATAAAGAGAATAGAACATACTTCGTTTTATACAATAGTGACCTATATAATGCTACATCAACCAAATATGAGATCAACGATCACCAAACTACACTCTCCAAATTTGCAAATACAAATCAGAACCATAAATAAATTAATTAAATACCTAATTGTAGCTAAGAAATAAAAATTTAAGCTGTCTGAAATTGGTTGCCTCCTCCACATGCACGTGAGAGGTAGCTGGTCCACAATAAGTTTAGATAAGATAAGGGTTGATAAGTTTAGATAAGATAAGGAATAATAAGTTCTATGAGATTATATAATACCTTTTATAAAGTCTAATAAGATAAGGTAAGGGTTGATTAACTTAGATAAGGTAAGGGTTGATTAGCTCAGATTAGATAAGGACTAATAATTTCAAATAAGATAAGTGCAACTAAGGTAGAGAAAAATACTATTTTATATGATTCCTAAACAAAATCATTTTTAATCTTCATGTATAGTCTTTTGATGAAGCTTCTACTTTGGACCTTCATACTTCTTTAGTTCTCTTTTATGGTGCTCCTCCATGGAACTGAAAGCTGAGTTCCCATGCTGTTTGCTATATCAAGGCTTCTTCAAGTCTTTTATGATCCAATCCTTCTCTTAGCCGTGCTTTGGGCCTATAGTTAAGGAGTGCTGTACCACATCGAAAAGAAGCGACGAGGGCAAGACAACTTCAGGAAATAAAATGCAAGAGATTAGACTATACAAATCATACCTTTCTCGGCCTTTTGGCTAAGATCAAGTGTAGTATCTGTTCTTATCAGTTTAATATCTGATATGTGGGTCAATGACCCACAACGATATTAAATTTATTTTTTAAGGGGGAAGATCCACCACAGTGGCTTGCTACTGGGATCTTCAAGCGTCGCCCATGCGTTGCACTACTGCACGGGCCTGGCACACCCCACCAATATTTAATTCAAAAGTTACCCATCTGCCTTAATTATAACAAAGGGATATTGAATTCAAAATTCTTCCTCAATGCAGTAGCTTGCTAATGGGATACTTATGCGTTGCGCTACTGTATGAACATCGTGCACCCACCAGTTCAGTCTTCAAAATGTACTTTTTATGTAGGAAAAAAGTGATGGGATGTAATAAGCAATCAAGTCTAGTAGAAGGTAGACAGTTGAGCAAACTAAGTCCAGTAGAAGGATCATGTCCCTTGATTTAAGTTAGGATGATAATCTAAAGCACGTCTAGCTTTTTGGGAATTTTTGGGGCCTTTTTTCAGACAGTTTCCATTTGCCTGTTTCATGCATTGAAAACAATTATAAGCAATGTTTTGGTGTTTTTTGTTCATCATGAAGTACACTTTTTTTTGAGGGATCATGAAGTACACTTGATGCAAGCATGTGCCACATAAAATTTTAATGCTCTGCCTATAAACATGTCATGTGATGTCTATTTCAGTGGTTGAAGTGCTTAAATCATTTGATATTCTTTCTATTTTGATGGTTGAACAAAGAGTTCAATTGCATCTCTTGTTATATCTATCATGGATGATAAAAACTCATTCACAAATTATGAATAACATTAGATCTGGAACTACTGAAGGTGTGAGTTTTTAAGTGATAACCAACGATCTGGCTGGTGTTAGAACATGAACTATGATACCTACTTATGTTATGAGTAATATTGATTTGAGTACATTAGCATAGGTATACTTGAGCAATACATAACCAATGTAAAGAATAGATTGGTTTTTTCTACCTTGCATCTTAACTTCTACTTGAGCTACAGAGTAAACCATCAGTTGTGTGGAACACCTTGAATAGGCTTTCCTGGAAGTTTTAGTGAGTTATTAACTTGATATATTGGATTTGGTAGCTTGAAATCTTTTGAGCTTTGCAAATTATTAGGTAATTTGAGACTCATTTTGATTATGAAGCTCTGAATCATGATTCAGCATTCCAAGTCTAAAGATACAAATGTTCGTATCTTTGTATTTATCTTTTCTGAGTCATCTTATAAATCTGTAATGATGCAGAGAAGATTAGCATGGCCCTTGACCCACATAATTCGAGAAATGGTTCAAAAATTAGTCAGATTTTAGTTTTTTTTTTTTTTTTTTTCCTTCCTAAAAGCTTCCAGTTTCAGGTATCCATGTGAATATGTGATGCAATTTTCATAATAGAATGTAGATAGTGCTTGTTTATTACTATGTGTCCACTGTCTATTATACTCTTATTAATCTAAACTTTTTCCAATTAAGGACAGACATGCAGCCCATTTTTGCGCTCTTGCTCGTCTTTGTCAACTAATTAGATCTAGTTGTATGTACAGTATATAGAAGACTATTTGCCACATTAATTGGTTTCATTCACGCAGTGCTTAATACCCTAATTTATAGCGAGTACAGTCCCCTAATCAATCCTCTTTTGGGGAGTTTCTATTCCCTCTAAACAGCTTAAAATCTTTTTTTTGAAGCTTGCTTTTGTGACAAGTGATTAGGGGATTTTTTCCTACCAATCATCATCTGACAAGTGGACCAATCAGGTCCTGCCATGTGTCCGCCACATGGGCCAATAGGAGCCTGTCACGTGTCTGTCCACCATGGACCTAGTGTGTCACGCCGCGTGGCCTCCGTATGCTAAGTAGGCCACCTAGGCCCAATTTCCAAGGGAAGCCCAGTCAGCCCTAGGTTAACCTAAACCTAGGATTTAACACGTTTCCCAAGGTTATAAATACTCTAATTAATCCTCATTAAAGGGGATTAAGCAATTAATTACTCTCACCTAGAGAAGCCAAAGCATATTGATCACCTTTACTTTTCCGCATTAATTACTCCTAAATCAAGTACTAACTTGACCGTCGGAGGCGGAACTCCCACCACAAGGAGTCTCCGTTGTTTTGCAGGTACAGGCGCAAGGATCCAGTCCCGGAATTGTAACTCTCCCGCAGGACATCAGAAAACCCCGAAACATTTTGGCGCCGCCTGTGGGGAGAGTACTTTCGAGATGGCATCACAGAGGCGTCCAGTGGACGACCCTCAAGTCTACTCAGATCAAGATTCTGAAAATAAGGTCGAGGTTGAAACACACACGGCCTCAGATGGGACCCTAAGGGCCCAATGCACCCATCACACCGAAAGGAAAGAACGGGTAGATTCCCAAGCTGAACCCAGCAATCCAGCCGGCCCACCGGCTGATCAACAACAGGCGACTGAAGGATCCGCTCCTATTACAAGGAACGAACTCATGACTTTCATGAGAGGGTTCAAGGGAGAGATCCAAGAATTGATTAATAAGAAGACGCCTGCTCTCTCCAGGGAGCAGTCGGCAAGAAAACCTTCTCAGTCTGGAAGAAGGAAACCTGTACAGGGTCGAGAGGAGACTCCTCACCCTAATTTTAGGAAGTGGGAGCCGCCTGTGATTGACTTAACAAAGTACCGCTTTCCCTCACCAGGGAAGAGGAAGCCCATTCGTCATGTTCAAGTGGATGGGTCAAAGAAAACTTACTCAGATGCTCGACTGTTGTTAGAGTAGAAGAAGAATGACCGACTGTCAGAGTCGGCCTCTACTTCAGATTTTCAAGATAGTCTGCATAATACCTCCATGAGGTATACTCAATCAAATTATGAGAGTCAGACAGGCGGTACCTCCCGTCGGTCTGGATCTCATAAAGAACAGTCAGTAACGAATGTGCCGTTCGTACCGCAGTAACAATACTTCTTGCAGCCTCCTTTGTTTGGGGGGCAGGCGGCAAGAAACGTCCAACCATTGGACTGACAACTACGGTTGCTCAGACTTGAAGAACAACCGTCCGCCTTCTCCAAGGACATTACTGAGGCCGCCTAGCCGGCCAAAGTGAAGAATGTGTTAGTAGGCGCCTATGATGGCACTACTAACCCAGAAGATCACCTAATGACGTTCACTAACCTAATGTACCTCCAAGGGTTGGATGATCCTACTTGGTGCAAGTGTTTCCCAGCGACTCTTAAGGGAATCGCACAACAATGGTTCGGTAACCTGTCGACTGGTTGTGTTAATAATTTCAGGACACTTGCCTACTTGTTCACCTCCAATTTTGCTATGAACATTCCTGCTAAGAAGACGACTCTTGACTTGGGGACTATTCAGCAGGGTGAGAAGGAGGGCCTACGATCCTACATCAGGCGGTTTAACCTGATGAGGATTCAAATACAAGGGCTGCCTGATGAGGTAGCCTACACTGAGTTTTTCAGAGGTCTTAAGGATGGGTCGACCTTCAAGTTTGACTTGGTCCGAAAGAGGGTTGCGACTCTCCAAAAAGCATTGATTGAAGCTGAAGCCTATATATAGGTGACTGATCTCTGTAATACTGAAAAACAGTCGGACGGAAGGAGGTCTGACAAGAAAGAAAGCCGACCAAAGCAGTCGGCAAATAAAGATGAGAAAAAGAGAAAAGAAGTTTGGGCGGCAGACTCCTCTGCACAGCCGGCCCAAAAAAAGAAGAAATAATTCAAACCATACTCTCCCAAGTATGCGTTCAACAAGGATAGCCAAGCTATCCTCAAAGAAATCAAGAGTCGGATCTCAATCGAGAAGCCGACCCCCATGAAGGGTTCTGCAAGCAATCGGAACCAGGATAAATTCTGTCACTTTCATGAAGATATTGGTCATGAAACCAATGAATGTATTAGCCTCATGCGTTACCTGGACTGCCTAGCTGAAAAAGGCGACCTTGACTCTTATGTCAAGAAGTCCAAGGGGAATGCTCCCCCAAAGAACAAACAGTCGGCCAAGAAGAATCATCGGCCGACCGACAATTCTAATACTGATGATGCAGTCGTCTAAACTATAGTCGGCGACTTCTCAGGAGGCGGCCCCACTATTAGGGGCAACAAAGACAATATCAGACGGTTAGATGTTAATTCCGTTCACCAAGAACGGACCGCCAAGAGTTCATTCCCAGAGATTGTTACCACAGAAGAGGATCTGGGAGGTGTTAAGGGGCCGCATGATGACCCCATTGTCATTTAATGCAAGGTGGCCAACCAAATAGTTGGCCGCATCTTCATAGATACCGGTAGTTCTTCTGATCTCATCAGTAGCAAGTGCTTGGCAAAGCTCAAGTACAAAACTGACTGCATACATCCGGTATCTCACCCTTTAGTAGGGTTTGGAGGAGGTGTCGTACACCTAGTAGGACGAGTGGATCTACCCATCCGTCTGGGTGAGAAAGAGGAGGGCCGTCACATGGTGGTTCGGTTCTTAGTAGTTGAAGAACTATCGGCCTACAATATGATATTGGGACGACCCACCCTGAACAATTCTAAAGCTGTCATTATACCTTCTCTTATGCTGCTCAAATTTGAGAAGGATGATGGAACAATCGGCTCCCTAAGGGGAGATCAGAAGATGACACGAGAGTGTTACCTCTCGGATATCAAACCCACTGTGGTGGCTGCTGGCCCAAGTGGTGAAAGAACTGACCTTGAATTCATCAAGGAGGATGCGCCTGCTCAAAAGGCAGGCGGCAAGAAAAGAAAGGCTACCCATGCGGGGGCCGAGAGAAAAGAAAAAAGATAGCAATCACTGGCAGAGGAGCGGTCGGACGAATTCCGCCCTCAACCGGATGGCGAGCACACGGATGTTGTCCTGGACGACTCACGTCCTGACCGAACAGTCAAGGTTGGGACAACTGCTTTTGAAGTTTTGGGTGAAGATTTTCACCAACTTTTGAAGGAATTCAAAGATATCTTTGCATTCGAAGTTCATGAAATGTCAGGCATCAGTCCTGACCTGGCTGTACATAAATTGGCTGTGGATCCGAAAAAGAAGCCGGTTAGGTAAAAGAAGCGGAACCATGGTGAAGAAAGATGCCAGGCGGCCGCCGCCGAGGTTAAAAAGTTGCTTGATGCAGGGTTTATTCGACAATGTTATTTCCCAGACTGGGTTGCAAATGTTGTGTTAGTAAATAAGCCGAA